ACCAAACAGATTTAGTTGCAATGATGGAAGTTATATAATCTTTTGGAATGTCACTTTTTATTTGCTTGAATGGAGAATAAACAGCCCCTTGTTTTTCCCCATCTCAAAAACCAATAATCTGGGAATTGCTTTAAATGCTGGAAAACACCCACCAGAGGTACAAAATGTAGAAACAGAATTGTCAAACTTCTCAAATGATTAATCCTGTATTTTAAATGACAAACAAAATTCATCCCAAATGATAATTTTCAGGAAACCACAATTATATGGGAGGACAGCTTCCCATTGGCTCAGTTGAGTTTATTTTCATCTATACTTCATGGCATCCTTTTCCATGGTTAATCTCATGAGATAATTGAATGATAAGCATTTCACTGCCTGTGAAACAGGTTATGGAAAAGCAATGTAATGAAAGTTTTGTGACTTTCAGAACGCATCCATTCCCAGGCCTCTCAGGTTTCCTATTTGGAATGAAGGGAAGGACACAAGCATAGGACACGTGAGGGCTGGACCTCCACCTCAGCTCCTTGTGTGCTCTGCACCTCTGCCATGCAGCAGCAGAGCTCTAGGTTGGGTGGGGTGGTGCTACCACCCTTGCTTTGATAGAGCCCTGCAGGGATATGCCTACAGTCCATGCTACAAAACATCACCGTTTCCATCAAATTTGTGCTCCTTTCCTCACTGTGTGTCATGGTTTTCTCTGCCAACAGCTTCATTGATCAAGGCATAAATGTAGGTAGGGAGCTGAAATTTGCTGTCTTCTCAGCACTGAGAGGATTGCTGGCTCTGCAACCTCTTAAAAGAAGGAAAAACATGAAATTGCTTTGTTCCCCTTCTACAGAGAAGTCATTAACCTCAGTAACAGGGAAGGGGGTAGATTTTTAAACCCCATGCCTGGGGAAATAAGACAAGCAACTGCTCTTAATGTTAGCATTGATATGTCTGAGTAAGTTAGTCCCTTTCTGCAATCATAACATAATGAGCAGAGGTTCTGACTGTGAAGCTTTAGCCCAAGTGGGTGGAGGAGAACAAGGCTTACAAAAGAAAGGCCTACATGTTTACATTTATCAATGTGAGTTTCAAGGAATATATATATATATATATATATATATATATATATATATAATATATATATATATACACACATATATACACATACATTTATTTATATATATATATATGTAATATTCAGTGTGAAAAATAAAAGGCTCTTCACAAATGTTTTGGTATTGTGCCTTAAAAAAATGACACTTTCCACTGCCAGTCATGACTTTAAGTCAGATTATGGCTAAAAATATTAAGGGAAGGATCACCACAGCAACAATCACATTGCCCCCCTTCTGCAGAGGAAATGGAAAAACACTCAAACTTTGCCAAACTGAATAAATTACCCAGATTATCAGAACAGTAAGGAAAGCATATGTAAGCAACTCTGTGTGTTTTTGTGTAAGGTAGTGTGTTCAAATGTGTTAACTGGGTTGCAACTCATTAAATACTTAAGTCAAAGGGGGCAACTCTGAAAATATTCTCAAGAGACAAAAAATTGTGTGGTTGTACCTTAACTGGCCAGCAGATACTATGTGAAGGGTAGTGCTCACTGCAACACTGGGCTGGGCTGGTGGCCTGGAGATGGGATGGAGCACATTGAAGCACGTTGCACCAAGATGAAGCTGAGAAAGGGTTGCTTTGCTCAGACAGAAGCACCCTTACTCCAGTCGCATAGCTGTTTGTACTTATTTGGCATAGTTTGCTCTGCCAAAGTAAATAATGTCATTAGCCAAGGGGGGAAAAACAGGGTGGAAGGGTGAAGGGGCAGGAGCAATATTGTCACTGTTTGAATTGAAGCACATTATGCAGGAGTCTGCACTGGAAACCTCCTCTTACCAGGCTGCCCACACTGTCAGCAAAGATAGGGCGGCTGTTTTAGAGGCAGTCCTAGGACGTGACTTAGAACAGTTGAAATTATGTCAAGTGCTTTAGTGAATTCCTATTGCATTGAAGACTCTAAAATCATCTTATGGAAGCCCAGAGCACATGGCTTTTGAGCACTGGAAGAAAAGGCACAGAGTGCAAAGGCTGTGTGTCCCCATTCTCTTGCCATCAGTATGAACACTTGTTTAGCTGTTTGTAGGTCCAGAATTAAACCCTGGATTGCTGTCTGTCCAGGGGGCAGATATAACTTTCTGGCTTGGATTTCTAGCTCAAAAGGATCCTCAGTTGTTTTTGGGATCACATATTTTAAATAAATGGTGCTTGACTGGTCTGTGTCTTTAGCCTTTTCTACCTCCCAGATTCACCGATGTTTTGCAAAGGAGGTGTGTGCTCCTGCTGAACAAATTTAAACCTACTGATAACAGACTTGCTTTTCTTTATTCTTTTTTTTAATGTAGGCCAGTGCAGCTTGGGCTGGGCCAGATGATTTAAGTGATGTCAATGATATCCTGGCCGCATTTGAGGTATCTACTGAATGATGGGTCTAGGATGGTTCTATCTATAGTATGTTTATGCAGACTGAATTCCAGTAATGACCCATACCTTATGGTAACATGGCTGGAAAAGGGTTCCAATGGCTGCTGTCAGAAGCATATGGGGGTCTCTCCTGACTTGCAGGACATTCTCTTCAAGGCCCTCTTGTGCCAGTGCCAGAGAGGCACATGAGCAAGCAGGAGGTTTCAGTTTGATCAGGCTGGCTGAAAACTCTTGCTATTACCACCTCCAGCTTGTAAAGAGCAGTTTATGGTGAATTTGGTTGTTCTGCAGCATTCTGGTTTTTTGTTTTTTCAAGTACAAATTTTAAAATTTTCTTACCAACTCATTTGAAAAGCCCTATGGGCCCTTGCTCTCTTTTCTGTCTTTTGATGGCTGACGCCTTTCTGTGCCCACTGTGGCTCCAAGGTTGGCAGCCTGCTTAACCACAGGGCCTTGCCACATGGCATGGGTTTTGTGCTGGTTGGTGGTGACACTGAGCCATTGCAGTGGGGAAAATCTAACAGCGGCAGCTGGCATTAATGAATCCTACATCACCCAGGATCAAGGGCAGGAATCCCAGAGCTCAGAGGGTTTTCATGGAGGTCTGGTACAATCTTGATAGGTGAGTGAGTAGAGGAGATGAAAGCACATCTGGATGGGCTAAGGGATGCATAAGCACTGGAATTCTAATACTTAATTCAATGCTTGTGCATTAGTTGGTTTGTTTTGGTTTGTTGGTGGTTTTCTTTTTTCCCCCATCTCTTTTTAAGATTTGCTTGTTTTTCTGGAAACTGAGAAAGGAAAGATGAGTGGTACATATGGTTAGATGTATGTCGGCTATGATTCTGTTGTTGTGTGTGGAATCTTTAAAAATAAAGTGTTCCCCAGGCTGTAGTCTAGAAGTGAATGCCATGCATTAATGCAAGATAGCCCTTATAGTGAGTTACACTCTTGTTTGTTTCCCCTGTAGATGTTATTTCGCTCCTTGCTAGTTTGATTTAATTTGAAACAAAAGCTATTCTGGTTGTAGGCAATTTTGATCTAGGCATTCAGGAAATGGAACAGGATTAGATCTACAGAAAAAAAAAAAAAAAAACCTGCAAAAATCCTACCAGAACAACATGCTGCTTCCCACACCATCCTGTCATAGTCAGGTCTGATCAGGATGTCTATACCACCCTGACCTGCCTTTTAGGAGGACAGATTCTGAACTGGATGATAATGAACACAGATTTTCTTTCCCCTTCCAAATTACTGTCTCCAAACTGAGGTCTATATGTTATAACCAACACTCCAGTCCAGAAGGCTGAAGTGATTTCCATCTGCAAAACTCATATCTGAGTTCCTGATAATGAGATAATATTTGAGAAGCCACCAATTTCTTCCATCCAGATTTATGGGATGAAAGCCTCAAATATGAAGGATTTGTCTAAAGCAGCTTTGGGTTTTGCCTGCCTTATAGTTTGGGAATAACAGACTCGGTAGCTTCTAAGCTGAACTTGGCCTCATGGAGTGCCTTTCTGGGGACTAGTTTATTCTGTTTGTTGTACCTTCCTGTCAGATGTGATGGGAAATCAGTGATGAGCAGGAGGTCCCTAATCTCCATGGATACTTGTCTCTGCATGGTGTCAAAATCTGAGTTGGCTGTTAATTTTCTCATATTTTGCATATGACTAATTCACTTAGGAAGGGAGGGAAAGGAAGGAGGTTATTTGAGATTGAAGTAAAAAATGAGAGAAAGAAAATTTGGCAGTGGTTCTCAACTGTAGCTGCTGGGAGGCCTCCAGAAGCCTGTCCCATACCTGCATCCCCCCAAGCTTGTTGTCAGCTCTCACGCTTTGTTCTGTACTCAGAGCAGGGTCTCAAAGGAACACAGCTGCTGCAACTGCTCATAGACCAAAAGGTGACCTTTCGAGTCATGAGGCATGATGCATTATTTAGTGCATTCCTGGCTAAAATGGAGATGAAATATTTTCGTTAGCAAAAATACTTGTTTGTCCTTTCACTTGGATGCATCCTTTTTGCATCACACAATAGTGTGGTGTGCACACCACTCCTTGAGATTTCTTCTGGGCAAAGATTTTGGTAAGACTTTGAAAAATCACTTTTATTAAAAGGATCCTACTAGCCAAATGTAATAGACTTCAGTTTAGAGGTACCAAGTTTGCAAAAACTCAACTTCTATTTAAATAATGAGTGAAAGTTTCCTGGTGAGGTGTATGTCTTTAGACTATCAGCTGATACTGGTAAGTACCATAACCAGCTGTTACTTCAACAAGAAGTGTTTTACTTCTTCCAATTCATCAATAGTCTCTTGGAAGTTGCCATAGCAGGGCATTCATTACAGGGATGTTTAATGAGTAGAATATTTGTCATTTGCATAGAGAGAAGCTTTAGCAGTGATCCCAGGGATCTGTGATAGCCAGGTACTTAGGCGCTCTCTATCTATTGGGTGAAGGAGGGGAGGCAGATGGGACCAATTTTTCATGATGTCTGACATTAAATTTCCTACAATGTCTTCCAGAGAGAGATTCAAAGAGGCTGGAACTTACCTCTCCCGCTGACTGTGAATGAAGACTGCAGTATATTCAGCTACAAGTCCATCTGCTCTTTAACTTTTTTTTTTTTAAATCTATCTGTGGTTTTTCTTTGAAGTTTCCAGCACCATTTATGAAGGCTCAAAAGGGGTATTATTCATATATTTCAGATGAAGAAAGCTGAACTGTCAAAGTAACAACTGACTTGACAAAAGCCAGTATTCTCCAAGGCATCAGCATTTAAGAGGACCTGGGAAAAGATCCTGTGCTTACCAGGAAATTTCACTGATCTCATCAAGCCCCAAAACTCAGGAAGGAGAAAAAAAAAATCTGCAAAAATGAAGAAGTGCCTAGCAGATCATGCTATCTTGTTGAAAACCCCAGTGGTAAAAATTATTCAAAAAATGGCAGGTATCTGCTCCTGTGAGATTATTTTTAGCAGTAAAAGAGTAGATGGTGTAAGATAAGTGAAGAAGGATTCCATAAATAACTGCATTTCAATTACCTGTTTGGCATAATTTTAATTGTTACAACAAACAGCACAAAATGACAAAAAATGAACACTTTCTACTCAGAAGATAAACTGCTTTTAAAAAGAAAGGAATGAAATCCAGGTCTATCATTTTTTGAATCCTGGTTAACTAAATGAACATGACTGGAGAAGCAGAGACACCTGAGCAGCTTTGAAGACTTTTCTCTGATGTATTCTCACTGACTCTGAGACCTTATTTCCAACCACAGTGTCTGCTCATCCTAGTGCAGCACCCTTCAAACCAACCTTCCCCGAAGGATTCAGCAGACATGGTCTGAGAAAAGAGCTAAGCATAAGCCTGGTAAGCCCTCACTGCAGGGAGTTCTAACTGCTGTGGGATTTAGTCAAACAGTAAAGTACAAGCTTCTACTATGACTCATCTGGTGTAAAACTAGTGCTAAGTATTGTACATAATTAAGACAGCATTATTACAGTGAGATGGCACTTCTTTTTCTGGTATGGTTAAAGTCGTGAAAAGGTGTAATGTTTTTAGCCTTCAGAGCTGTGAAGATGAGGAGTTCTGATAGGAGTTCATTCTAAAAGATATCATGGCTACAGTGAGTTTAGATCATAATTTGCGTTATTGCTGAAGCTTTACATGCATATTACTGTTGCCTTTGTGAAAAGCTATGGTATTTGTGAGAATAAACATGACCTTAGAGTCATGTTCATTAGATAACACTTGCAACACTGGCCTCTCTACACATTCCAAGAGTTTTCATAATTTTTAAACCCACAAATCGACTATTTTATTCTGAGCCACATTTTTTAAAGAGGTCTTAATGATTTTTCAAGTAACAGGCACAAGAAGTTATATTTTCCATTGAATGCAACAGAAAATATAGTGTCAATGAGCTAGAGATTCAACATTTGAGCACTGTGAGCAGGTACAGAAGTATTAGTAAGACATTGTCCCTACCAATGGGAAAAGTTGAACAAGTAGGTCATTCCAATTTGCTTACTTGTCCCAAATTTTCCTTCAGAGGGTACACAAATCAACTTTGCTTTTAGTGAATGCGTGATCTTGGTAAAAATGTACTGTGGTAAAATGCAAAGAGATTCAGCTTATTGGTCATTCTAAAACCACTTGTTCAAGTTATTTGATTCTTGTAATCCTTTACTAGAAACTCCTGTGGTGTTATGATATTCTTTCTGTTCATCGATTATCTGTCTGACTTGCAAGGGAGAGGTGGGAAAGTAGACTGCAAGATGGTGACACGGACCAATTTAAGGGACAGGACTTAAAAAGAACCCATTTCCACCTGTATATTCCAATGGATGCCTTTGTAGTATGTTTATGCTCTTACTGGAAAATCTATTGGCTACTTCTTCAACCTAACTTTACCACCACTTTTATAGTTTCCTAACATGCTTTTTATACTGTGTTTCATGCACATCTCTAAGGAATTATTTGTGTAAGTTACAGGAACTATAGAGCCTCAGGAGGAATCCCAGGCAAAAAATGCACTTGGGTGAAGACATCTCAACAATAGCCAGTGAGCTCTTTCTTTTTGTATGACTTGAACAATCTATAATATTTTAAAAGTGTGAAGTCCAAGGGTCTTTCTGAAAAAATGACCATTTAGTATAAAAGATAAATCAATTCCTGTTTTGTTTGCACTGCCGCTTTCCGGATGAATTTCCAATCTATTAGTGGAGCAGTAAGTGCTCCCCCAGCAACCAACCACTGATGTTTTGAAATCAAATCAAAAGCAGCATAAGACTGTTGAAGAAAAGGGCTTGAAAGGAAAAGAATGAAAGATCATACTATTCCTATGGTAGCTGCAAAAGTTTGTGAAGATTACAGCTGAGAGAGGGATGGGCCAGAGACCAGAAGGAGACCAAGGACAAGATATCTGCCTGCAGAGTTTTGTCCTAACATGCCTTCCGGCAGGATCACAGCCTAAACAGCACAACTAAAACTCTATAGGGTTGATCTGTTAGGGGCACACCACCAGAGGTGGAATTGTGTGAGGGGATGGATAAGCCTCAAAAGAAGAGAGCACCTGTTTAAGCGTGGTTTTTACCTTGGTCTTTGTTCAGCCCTGACAAGATTTATAGAGAATCTGGACATGTAAGAGAAATACTGTGCATGCCTGCTCTTTGTAACATAGGTTTTTCACTTCAGCTGAGGGGCCAGGGACCTTGCTGTGGGTGCATGCTGGGGTTGCACTGCTGATGCACTCCCAGCTGCTCTGAGTTTTATCTTTATTCCAATCATAAGCTCACTACAAGCCCAAAGGGAAAAGTATTTGTATTCCACTGTGCACACTGACAGTAATTTTGTAGATGCAGCACAACACTGTAGAAAGAGACAGGTATATGGAGCATTTAGAAGGCAATAATTTCTTCTAACTTTTTATTTATTTATTATTTTTAGTCACACTCCAAAGGTTTTAGTGGGAATAGCAAAGAAAAGAACTTGCAGACTTCACAAAAATCAAAGCCTGCAGCTTGTGCTGGATGGGTGTATTTGGCACATATCTGTGATTATGAAATTAATTTTGAATTGCTTTTGAACTTCATCAGGATAATAATTCATTCTTTCAATGTCCCTTTTCCCTCCAGAACATCCACCATTAACAAACCAACTAGTTGCAATGTTTTACAATCCACATTTGAACCCATTTCTCAAAAGATTGCACATTTCCTTGAATAAACAATTACTCAGCTCATTTGCACAGAGATAAGGTCAGTCTTGGGACTGGAAAATGAATCAACACCCCTCTCTGACAATCATCTTGGAAATGGTCAAAAAGCAATTGCTGTAGGAACATGTTAAACTGCAATTTCACGTTGCAGAAATGCAACATCAACAGGCAGCTTAAGTGTTTCTGTACAAGCAGATATTGTACAGCCTTGGTTTGGTAAAGTTGAGCCTATTACAGGGTTTAGGCACATGCCTGAAGATGTGCCTGAAGTTAAGATGTGCTTAAGTGTTTTGTTGTGTTTGGCCTACAGGCTACATCTGTGTTTGTATTAAGAAGAAAAGCTGTTCTACAAGACATTCAGGCATTTTAAAATGTATTTTTGTTCTGAACTGGTACAGGAAGTTTTATCTTTTAATGAAATTTAGAAGATCTTTAATTTCAGAAATCTTGTAATTGAGTGTACTTGAAACATTGTGTGTCAGTAATGTTGAAATTATTTGAGACATTAAGATTGAAATATTGCATGTCCACATATGTTACTTAGTTAATTAGAAGCAACTGTTAACTAAGCATGCCGGGATTGCCTGGGTTGTGTATTACCACCCCCTGGATACAGAAAAGAGCTGTGGTCTGGTCTGGCTTCTTGGCTGAGATGCAATGTTCCAAGAACATAGCTCTCAGCTGAGCATAAAACAAGGATATTCATCTGTGCACAAAATAGACCTAGACCTGCTAAACCCCACTTGGTCCAACTGGATTTAGGTAGTGACATCTCAAGTGTCTTGCACCAGGTCTTTGCTGCAAGTGCTTTAGAAATGCAGGGCACAGACCCTTCACTTTTGCTTGTAGGTGGTTTGGGTTTTCCTTGGCTTATTTGTTCTGCCTTTGATGTATCCAAGATGATTCCATACTGTCTAGGAGACATGGTAGTTTGGGCTTATTTGTTCTGCCTTTGATGTATCCAAGATGATTCCATACTGTCTAGGAGACATGGTAGTTTGGGCGCAGCACCATCATTTCCATCTGATGCTATACACGGTAACTGAGCCCCTCTGGAGCTGAGGGCTGCAGCTCTGCAGCAGTCAGCCAGGGTGCAGAACTAGGCTGCAGCTACTTAAAGTCAAGCTGGTTCTTTGCAGGAACTTTAATGTTACCTTCAAGCCTGTTCTGCCATGGACATCCCAATATCTGAGGACTGCAGCCTGGCTTTAAACTTAAAAGCTAAAATTTGCAAATCAAAGCTAAGCATGTTTCTTACTAACTATATTCCCATAAGCAATTGTTATTTTCTTGAAAAAGTTTCAGTATTGTGGAATCAGCCTACACTACAAGGAGACTTACGCACTGGGAAAAAGTCAAGCAGCTCTGTGAGAATAAAGCAAGAATGATAGACAAAGTCTTACCAGACTGAATATATTGCTTGTTCTGCCTGTGTCGAGATATAATGGTTGTTCAAAAGGGAAAAGATACCTGGAAATAGTCTATGAATGGGAATCATACTCTGTTCCTCTCTGTTTCCCTTGCTCTTCAAGTTACAAACTCTTATGTCAGCCTCATTGCTTGACAGATCAAGTAGGATTGATCCCCAAGTCAAGGGCATATTTGGGTAGGCATGCTTAAGAAGACTGAAACAATTGCTTTAGAGAGAAAACTTTCTGTGGTCAAGGCATATGTCACCTGCGGTGAAATTTATTCAGACAAATGTTTCATTTAAAATGGCCTTTCCTGCTTAAGTCTCTAGGCATTTATGGCTTTGCTTGGATGTCCTGCCCTTTTCTTTTGGAGTTGAAATAAATATCTGAGGTTCATAGTCTTTGTGTCCCTATCAACTTCTGGGTCAGCTGGCCAGCAGAGAGGTTGTCTAATCCCATTTTTGAGTGATGTTCTTTCATCTTTTAAGGCCTTAACTCCAGCAAAACATAAATTTAGCTGGAGACTGTGGATATTGACCCTTATGACAGAACCCTCTGCCCTTGCTTGGCACCTCTCTTACTCTTCCTGTAAGAAACTAGGGCAGTTTCTAGTATTCAACCAACAGAATTCTTCGGATTTGGATGTGAGTAAGAATAGGAGTGGGAAACTCTATTCTATGCTCATAATAGTCTTTTTTTTTTCCTGCAGTTACTACATGGTATGGTTATATTTCTGTTTGAAGAAACAGAACAGCTTCACAAATGAGTATAAAAAGATGTATGTGTTTTCCCGAGCTTGTATGTACTTTACTGTAATCTGACACTTACTGTTAAGAAATACATATTATATAATTGGCAATGGCAGACACATATTCTGATAGAAAAAAAAAATGTATTGAATGATACACGGTGTATCACTGATAGTGACTTGCAGCAATATTTCCATAAAAGTAAAGGATAATTTAGCACTTGAAAGTCAGGCCTCAAAACCAAAATAAATTGTTTTTCTGTTTCTGTACCTAGCCTCGGATATATGTCCCCTCACTGCAGACATCAGCAGTGTAGACACATATGGCAAAACCCATCACCCCAAGCTCCCTTTGCAGTCAATACAGGGAGCAGGCGCTTTTAGGCCATGATTCATCTGACCTATTTACATGTCTGCTGTAGGAGGAGATGAATCACTGCCTAGACTAGATCTGTGCGGAGGATAAAGGGAGCCTAAGATGGCCAGCACAGATGTAGATGCTTCTAAAGATCTACAGTTTGAATTTAGGCTTTCAGTTTGGAATAACAATTTTCCAGAGAAGAGTAAAATTTCCTAAGCCGAGTTTTTTTAGCAGAATATGTGTATGAATATATACATCTATGGTATTTTTCTTCCTGCGAGAGAAACATTTGCAACAATATCTTTTGAACACTGGCCCTTCCAAATGTTCTGCCATCTGAAGAGCTGCCATTTTATCTCTCTCTGCCTCTGCCCCTCTTTCACACATGGAGACATGTGTATACATACCATATTCATATTTCAGAGCTGGGCCTTCTGAGTTTTCGGCATTAACTTAAAATGTATTCCTTTCTGTGTGTGTCTGCTGTTACACACAGATAGATTAACTGGGTTTGTTTGTTTAAAAAATCCAAAGCAAAATATGCAAACAAACCCACCAAATTAAGATTTCCGAAATTTCCTTCTGTTTAAAAAGAATATTGTTATTAGTTTGGTTTTTTACTTCTAGGATCTGCTCTTCTCTGCCTGCAGCCTTGGTGAGACAGAGCATCATAGGAAGAGGAACACGAATTCCTGGGAGACAAGTACTTATGCAGAGGAAGGGGAAAGACATGACTTGATCATCTAAGAGTGCAGGATCCTAAGTAAAGCTGTGAGATGACAAGAGTTGTGTTATTGTGTAGTATTATGTATAGAAGGCCAGACTTGAGAGTCTGGTTTCTTGAGGGTGATGCCCTGGCAGGAACTCCTGTGCACATGCTGTAGTATAATCCAGTGCATCTGTACATCCATCTATGGTGCAAATGGCACGAGAGTGATATTTTTAAAAAAGAAGGAAAAATGTAACCACCCTGTTGGAGGGCTTTACAATGCTCAGCTGCTCCTGAGGAGTGCTTGGTGTAGCTACAGCAGGCAAAACATCCCTCCCATCTAGTCACTGGCACACAGCACAGCAACCCATTTATGTGAGCACCTGGTTGATCGGTTTGCCTGTGACAGATTTTGGCACACCCTCTCCTCTGGCTGTAAAGCTTTACTGACTTGTGTGTTTTTTCTCCCACAAACTCTTGTCTGGCATGGGAGGACTTAGAACAGAGCAACTGTGGCTCTGGCAATAACAGGAAAGTGCATTTTAGATAACCCTTTATGGTGCGAGCTTTGCAGCCATTTAAGGGCTTTTCTGTGGGGTTGGAGAAGAAGGGCTGTCCATCATCCAAAGCCTATTGCTATGGGAAGGGTGCATGTGACTGCAAAGGTCTTTGGCAAAGGCCACAAGCATCTGAAGGCTGCTCTGAGAAATGGATATGGGTTCACAATTCCCCACAGGGTGCTGTGCAGAAGTGAGCAATCTTCCACCGGTCATCCCAGTGCATCATTCATTAAACATAATGCCCTACAGGAAAGTCAAGGCTTTGTGTTTTCCATACCCCCTCCTGCATCAGCCCTGACGTCAGTAGTTTGGAACCACGGAAGTTAAATTCAGGCCAGTGCAGTCTAATAGGCAAGGGATAGCAAATGCTAAGAAGTCAAGGTAACGAGAAAATACCTGCCATCTGGAGCTGTCATAAACACGAATTTACAATCTCTCCCCATGAAATAAATAAATAACAGCCTGCAAAACATTACTCTCCCTGGATGCAAAGTCCGACTCCTGCCGCTGCCACCAAAAATTTGGGCCTCCCCACTTTCTGCGTGGTCGGTGGCTCCTGCCGAAAGCCCCAGGGTGATGCGCCTGGGTGCGGGGAGACATCTGCAAGCGCTGCCTGCTCAGGCGCAAGGGCTGGAGCGCAGGGATCTGCTCTGCTGCATCTGCTCTCTCCAGCCCTCGCTCTGACGGAAAGTTTTCCTCCTGGCTCTGACAGCACCGCAGCCACTTGGGGAAGCGCATGACTTCCTTGGGAGACGGTGTTTCTTATTTGTGTTGCAGGCCTCCAGCAGGCATGGCACCGAGGCAATATTTATATCAGTTTTTGTAACATCATTGCAGCAGCTGCAATTTTGGGAACTGAAGTGCTGGCTGGAAGTGGGAGAGAGAGGCACAAAACATGCCACATAGAAATGTGTATGCAAGGGAAAAAAAAAAAAAAAGGAAAGGAAAGAAAAGAAAAGAAAAGAAAATTGGCAACCAGCCTCCTCCCCCAGAAAGCTCATTGTGTTCCCCGGTGCCAGGGGTGCTGTTTTCCCTCCAGATGGTTACCACAGGGCCCATCTGTGTAAAAGTGAGTCAATGCCAATTGCAGCTCAGGATGTGTGTGGTGGGATCTGATCTGTCCCCTCAGGGTGCTTGCACTCCTGGTGGAGCAGGACAGGGGAAGGGTAGTCCTCCAGCCAGGTGGCTTTCTGTGCTAAGCCAAATAGTGTTCAGCAATCTTCTCATACCTTTCAGCTGTGAGAAAGCATAGTGCAACACTTGTGTGCAGGTAACCAGGCTGCCCCAAAAACTGCTGCAGCCCCATGCTGTGACTTGGCAATCAGCCCTAGCAAGCTCCTTATCCCACCTACAATGCCATGCTGGTGCAGTCATGCTGCTCCTAGGTGCCCAGCTCGGATCTCTGACCCACACTCTGTATGTGTCCTGACCTCTGTGGAACTACCTTGCTGTGGCTGGGAAATCCCCAGGGAGGTGGAATAAGGATCCTGTCTTCCAGATTATTTACTTGCTGCTTCTCATGACAGTTATGTGACCCATTTCTCTCCTTTTCTGCCCCTGGCTTGATTGCAGTGGTGTTTATCCAGTGGAGGTTTGAGGATTCTCTGGTGCTATGGGGCTGGAAGTCACAGCTACATGAAAGACAGCAGGGCTGACTTCAGTGTGTCTCCTTGTTCCTTCATCTGCCCTGCAGATGTAGAGGCAAATAAATACCCTTGGTGTGTGCCATGTGTGCAAGAGGGGCTCTCCACTGCCCATGCATGTTCTCAGTAGGTGGTTTCTACCTCTGCAGCCAAACAGCAGCAGCTGGCAGAACATAGGCCTGAATTCTTCCCTGTCCTGTTCCTTTTCCTCCATGTAACTCCACTGGCCTGTGGAGTTATATCTGACAGAGAAGGTGCCACACAGTCTCCAGTTACCTTAGAGCTTGATGAAACTGAAGAAAGCTTATATGAAGCTAAAAAGCTCCCACAAGGTGCAGCCTCAGACCTGTCAGGTGATGCACATTTCATCATGGGCAAGAGCTGAAGGTCATTTGACCCAAATATAGCTGTGTGGTGCAAAATACCTTCATTGTCCTGGACAGCACAAGGTCTCTAGAAAAAGCTGGGCTGCCAATGAGCTCTCCAGTTCATGTGTCCCGCAGTCCACTGAAAGGACTGCTGTGAGGACCAAGCAGGGGAACCATCACTGTGTCTGCCTGGGAGGACTCCTGAAAACCAGCACCTGAAGCTGCGTCACAGGCTCCCTGAGGCAGAGACACCACCAAAGACTGGTGACATGGTAAGCACGGCTTCTTGGACTATGTGCCTCAGAAAATCCCCTCCCGTCTCCCATTTCATATGTTTTTGTACCATAAGCACTCCTACTTGTCTCAAAAAGGACTGAAAATTCAATGGTCAAGTTGTTTCCTTAGCACAAACACCCTGAAATGCTCTTGGTGAGCAGAGTTAGGTAAGAAAGGGAAGAGGAAAAGACATGCCAGCTGTGGTGGCATATCCTCTGAGGTGGCACTGGAGGGCTTGGCAACCCTTTCAGCATTGTCCTATTGCAACAGGAAGGAGGAGGATATACAGAGGTTACTTAAAAGCCACAAACATTTTCCCTGCTTCTATTGCACTGCAGAAATTCTGCAAGGGAGAAGAAAAAAAAAAAAGACTATCTGAAAAGAAGGTACCCTTGATAACTAAAAAAACTTTATTTTAGAACTTACTTCTATTGAATAATTGCTACATTTTAAATTGCTGTTTTCAGGGGCTTTGGAAAGAAGTTTTCTTCTCAGTCATTAATATTTTCTTAGAAGGGTTGCATGGCTTTTTTCACTGCTACATGCTTACACGGAAATAGATGTGAAAGCAGTTTTGAGTAGCTCAAAAAGAAGTCTCTCATCAGCCTACATCTAAGATTTCCCTTAAGGATGTTAGTGGGAGAGAAATAAGTGGATAAGTGCTTTTTTCTTTTTTTTTTTTCCCTTTACCCCCCTTTCTTTTCCCCCCTCCCCCTCTTTTTCTCGAAAGTGGATTGTCTGGGTGCAGGAGTTAGCCCTGTAGATATTTGGGTGCTTGTGTGCATGGGGACAAAAATACAATTCTCCACTTATCATCCACAGCCTGTTGTAGGGTGTAATATTTGGCTTGATTGCAGTATGACTTACAATGTCATTTTTATTAGGGAGAGGTAGTATGCGATGCACTTTCTGAAAATATAATTTGCTATTTTGGATTCAATAATGCTTTTATGGAGGATGAGAGAGTGAAAGATTTTCCAGTTCTTTTACCTGAAACTTCCTAATGTTTTTAGTGCCCTGCTTCTCCTAGGCGAATACTTCTGTGTTAGACTTCCCTCTCCTTCTCCCGCCCCCTCCTTCTTCTCTTATTCATGTGTTTTGATGAACACAAAATGCCTTCCAATCCTTAGAGAGCTGTACTTATCATTAGACTGATGTTTTCTGCCTCTCAGGTTTTATTTATGTAAGTCTAAAAATGTGCAGCTCACTGGCACCCCACATTGCTTTTGGCTTCTCCCATCTTGCACGTGCCATGTTAGTTCATGTTTGCTTTTTCCTTGTGCTCTTTCTTTCATGCTATTACAACTTTTTTAGCACAGGATGTCTGAAACAACGAGCACCAACGTGGAGAATAAACATCTTTTGAATGGGAGAAGAGCCATCCCACTAAACTACTCCAATGATGAAGAAAATGAGGTTCCTGAGATGGAAGCTTTTGGATTGATACCTAGAGGATTTAATCCTAGAGGTACAGTGTACAATTAAGCCATAAGTCTATTTTTACATCTTCCATACTCTTAGCACAGGTCTGTGAGCTAAATCCAAACTGCTTTTTCCTTACATCTTTCCAATTCAGACAGCTTTTCTTGCTGTTCATGGGAAAACTTACTGAAACCGCCTGTGTGTATGGAAGCGTTAGCATGGGTTAAGGGTATGGAAAGTGAGGAGTAAAGAAGCTAAGTGACCAGTTATCAGCTTGAACTGTGGGACTGGTTAAAAAAAGGCAAGAGTGGGTTTTTCCAGTTTGATCACAAACACAGAGTCACTTTAAGAATCTACTGGCTTCAGGCATGGCTGTGGCAGCATTGGAGTGAAGGGCCAGAAGGAGTCTGTTCTCTTAATGGCCGTCTCATATGGCCCTAAACTGCCTGTGAAACTGCTGCAAAATGTTATCTGGCAGGGAAAACTTTAGCTATATATGTTCAGCTCACTCACAAAAAAAACCATGAGACTAAAGGGAATACCCATATGATTACTTATTCTCCTGTGAAAAATGTTTCAATCATTTGGCTGGGGAAACAAAACAATATCATGGTAGGGAATAGACAAATCAAAGTATGTTCCCAGTGTCAGCTCTTTGGAGACAACCAGAAATAAAAAATATGTAAGATCTGGTTTAAAAGAAAACAGGATTAAATTCTGAATGACTCATTAATTGAATTTATGTTAAAATTTTTGCCTATTTGAATTGAACAAGTAGAACTTGTTGAATGTGGCAGCTCAGGGTAGCTGGATGGAATACTACTTAATGCTCATAGGGGACTTTTCATCCAGAGTTGAAGGAGTGCTTAATAAATGTGGACAAGAATTAATTACTGAATTTCACACATTGGGAAACAGGCAAAGAGATTTTAAGTGACAAGTTGCAAAGAATTATTTCTGTAATCCTAATCATGTGCCTTAACCACATTCCCTTCCTCACACACCCCTCCCTACCCCCATCTAATAGACACACATTTCTTTTTGAAGCTTTTATTTTTTAAAAAATGCCCGAGCAAACCAACTGGCATGTTAAGACTGCAGAAATTTTGCTTGAACCTATTCTGACAACCCTGTGGCTCTGGGGCAAGTATGTGCATTTAAATTGTCAAATGCAATGCAGTGCAGGTCCCAGCTAGACACTGTTTCAAACCCAACACACTCACAGAAATTGGAGATGTATTACTGTGGGATACCTTGGAAGGAATGCAGCCTGTAGCTAAAGCCCACCGGTACCAAGAGAAAGATTCCTGTTGCTTTTTGATGTGCTTCACATCAAGCTCTGAATGAAGTGTGGTGCTTGTGGGCGGCAGCCTCCTGCTTTTCAGAAATGCAGTGGAAACTTAGGAATGTTGGGTCAAGTGAGTTGAGGCAGGAGCCCAACATATCCCTTGTCCAATGCAAAAGTTTGTGTGGCCATTGTATAAACCTGGCTATGGTACTGGTATGGCTAAAAAATAAATATGTGCATAACAGCAAAACTCTTTGTACAGCGGGATCACCTCTGCTGTGCAATTCTCTCCAATGCTTGTAGAAAAATATGCAAGGGGGGACCTGAAGGATCACCTGAAGGGACTGTAGCAGCATTTCTGTTTTGGTGCACATCAGCTGTGATCTAAGCCTGTGGTACCAGCTGATACAAGCATGGTCTCTGGACATAGTGTTTGGGGCAGGTGCTTAAGTCATCTGTCAGAGCACGTTAAAGGTTTATTGCCCCATGGAGCTTGACCTGACATTCAGGAGTTGAGCTTGCCCTGGAGTACTCTCAGTGTTGTGCTTGAGGGATAAAATGATGGTCCATGGGCAGAGCAGGAGCATCACAGTGTTACGAGGCTCTAGAGTTTGAGCACATACTGGTAGAGAGCAGCTTGTGACACCTTCTCCTTCTCCTGCACACCCCTACATTTCTGGGATGTCCAGATTTTTCTGTGGTGGTTCCCAGATTTCGTTGCCATAACACACTGAAAAAAAGCATGCAAATGCTTTTATCTCTGCTGTTACAAACGGAGGTGTTTTCTAGCCTTTGGACACCTGATATAAACATCTAAACACCTGTGTCTTCACCTGTGTCAGTCAGATTGTAGTAAAAACAGAGCCATCCAGTGAGTGGAGGTGAGGGGACAGGCTGTCCAGAGAGTCACTGGATGTCAGTTCCATGGTTATCTGTACCCTTCTCTCAGCTCCACTGACTGCAGCAACCAGCCATCAGCTGGCCATAATAAGTTACATACCAAGCTCACATCATTTAGATGCCTAAATTTAACTGAATTCTGCCCTTGATCTGTGCAGTGTAGGAGTCTACAGCTGAGCTAGTCACCCTCGTTTCCCTTGACAGCCAACAGAGAGAAACAGGCATTTTTAGGGTGTGATTCACTTGACCTATTTTAGCTACTACTCTCGGATGAGGTAAGACCCTGTGCTTGCCTAGCTCTCTGCTGACACCCACTTCGAGTCTGCTGAATCACAACCGGGGCGACCACGGTGGCCAGGGCCGGCTGCGCCCCTGGCCTGGGCAGCGGAGCTGCGGGACAAGATGCTCCTGACGGGCACGGAGCACTCCTTCAGCAGGAAACCAGTGTCTCCAGAAACATCCCTGTGCCATGTCCTCCTCGCGACTCGTCCCGGCCAGCTCATCTCAGCACAGTGTGTCGTGAGTGGGCTCGGTGGGAGGACACAACCCTGTCATCCCACTCTCCCTTGCAGAGTACGGTGAGTCGCCAGGTGTTTGTGATTCCCCTTCTAGAGGAGTGATGGGCACTTCCTTTGGAAACTCACGCCATTTTTTGTAGCACTTCAAAGCCCTTCCTCTCTGGTTGTCTGAGGAAACCTGATGTTTGAAAATGTGCTCAACCTTGTGCTCATTTATTGCCCTGCAAGCTTAACATTACAGAAGCTTTAAGAAAGCATCACACTGTTGCCGCTCGTGCAGCAAACGTACTTGCACTGAACAACAGACCAGCCTACAGGCAAACCCTCATGTGGACTTGACTTCAAAGGTGGTCTCGACTTGTCACCTGTCCCTCACAGCTGAGCATCGCCTGGAACTTTCCTTTGGATCACACACTGGTGCTGGTCTTGGCACATCCCATTACCCTGCTCATGTTTTGCTCTTTGTAATTACCATTACTGTAATTAGCGCAGGCTCAGCCATGGGTTATCTTCATTTGGCAAGCTTAACGTACATTTTAACACTGAGCCCAAAAATGAAATGTGTTTTTTGCAGATGTGTATGGCTGTGTTCTGACAAGAGCTGTGTAAAGTCCTGTGATAAAATGAAGCAAATGCTGAACTGAAAGCCCAGGATGGCTTAGCTTTGCAGTTCCTTGAAGGGGCTAGCATGCAGAGGAAAGGTGGGGTGACTATTGCCTTTTAGTGCAAAACAGGAGATGAAAACAAAATAAACCCTCAGCTCTGTTTTTATGCCTCCTTGGAATGAGGGAGAAGCTGAGCCAGTTTCTTATTGATAGTTTCACTCCTCACAGAACCCCAAAATACATAGCTTTTACATGTAGTGCTTTCAGCCCAGATGGGTTTGAAAGATATAAAGGGAGAGATTCTCCCCTGTCCCTGCTTCATCCCTGTACTGAAAATTCCTGCCTGGTGTAATTCAATTGTGAGTTTTGTCAGCATTTTTGAAAGAGCATTGGTAAGTTTTGCAAGGAGGGAGGTGAAGACATGCCCTACTTCACAGAGGGGCAACGAGAATGATTTCTGAGCAAAATGTTTCATACAGACATCTCTATAACTTCAGCCAGTGCTAAAGCCAGGGGGTTTTTACAGAAGTTACTCCAGAAGGCTGGTGAATTGAGCAGAGAATAACAATAACTTTGTCATGGGACTCTAAGCCTGACTTAGGACTGAACAGAGTATTCTACCCTTTTTGCAGATTAGGGTTAGCAGGAGGCAGATGGTTTTGGGTTCAGTTATGCAGGGCTTTTCCATGAAAGGTTCTTTATCATGCTGTGTCCTCAGGCATATTACTTTCCTTCTGTTTCCTAAAGGACACGGATAGGGATCTGAGGAATAATGCAAGCAGGAGTGAGACCTACTCCCATTGCCATTATTCGCCTGTTTCTCATTAGCTGTTGCCCAGAGCCCAGGCTGGAGCAGGAGAAGGACTATGCTGATCATGCTTGCCATCCGGGAAGGTGCTGCCTGCAGGGCTCTGCTGCCTGTCCAGAACTGACAAATTGTGCTGAGCTTCTGTGAAAGGGGCCACATTCAGCCTTCAATGACTTGAATGTCCAACTCATTTACTGAACATGTCATTCTTGCCCACAGTGTGCTTAGTAGAAGGCCAAATTAGCCACCATCACAAATACACACAGCTCCACCAGCTGCTGTAAATGTACAGCTCTTTTTGCCAGGCATGAGTTTGGCTCTGTCACTCTAAGCATAAAATGCAGGAATTAGCTTGTTTTGAACTGTCAGCACCTGGAAAGACAAGCTGAGAGCTGCAAATCTAGCTTTACTCTGCTGTCTCTCTCCTGGTGGTGAGTAGTAATGGTCCCGCTCCTCCCGGCAGAGGTTTCACGATTATGTGCCTAAGCATGCAGGCTAAAGAACAATGTCCAGTTCATTTTCATGTGGTTTCTCATAGTGTGAGAAGACTCCCATTGTGCAGATTCATGGTTTGGTACAGTCATGTAGCTTATGATGACTGCAAATGCCTGTGGCTAGCCCAGTGTCACCCCACACTGGTCATTTACTGAACCAACTACTTATAGTTTGCTAAAAATCTTTAGACAGCCTGAATTTGAAGGGAGCAGAGCTTTGTCTGTGCATGTTATAGATACCTACTGCTGCTTGCCTGTAACTCTATGCTGTAATTATATGCTGTAATGTTATATTTAGTTTTCATAAGGAGACACTAATAGCAGTGGAGGTGTACTGAGAAGCTGAGACAAGACACATGCAGTACACCCAAACCTTATCTAATACAGACAATTCAAGCTCTCAGCTGAATGCAGGATCATTAACTGCCTCTCAGGCTCTTCACTCTCAGTACTGGTAGCATTTTGCATACAACGGATTTAAGCGTAACAAAGCCCCTGTGAATTTGCATTTTACAAATGGGGGTCTGCAAGAAGGGAGACACGAAGCCTCAGCCATCAAAGTCCCGCTGATTGCTCTGGTAAACTTGTGACAGCAAGGCCCTGACTTGCAGAAAACCAATGCCAATTGAAAGATGAGTCCAGACTCTCCTTGAGGTCATTCAGCTTCCAATAAGCAACATGCTCTTTCTGTGGTTGCTCTCACCATGCACAAGAAGCCTTTTGGCCTCTGTGAAAATGGCAGGTAGACAGAGAAGTGTTTGCCCATATATCTCTTCTCAGCCAGGAACATTTAAGCCTCAGACAGATCCAGCATGTTCCTGTTGCATGGTGCTCCTTCCCTGGAGAAGGGGAGGGCAGGCCCTCTAATTATGTTGATACCAATATTGTCATTTCAGCACACTGACTCCTTCCCCCTCTTCTTATTTATGTGTCTCTGCAGATTACCTGAGTGTTGTGGATATTTATATGTTCAAGGAGCCTCACGAGATCAACAAGCAGGAGCACCACACTGATAAGTACTACAACCCCAAGCTGATAGTGCGTCGGGGACAGGCTTTCCAGATCCAGATTGACTTCAACCGACCCTACAAGCCAGAGTCAGACCAATTCTGGCTGGAGTTTTTGATGGGTAAGTGCCTGACAAAGGCTGTGTCTTATCAGCAAAGCAATAGTCTCTCATAAACAGGAAAACAGCAGAATTTAATGGCTGGGTCTTTTCCTGTTATGATTGATAAACCATAAAAACAGGCTTAGCCATAGGCAAGGAAGTGTTTTTCTAAACAGGGTTTGAATCCTTTCTTGGAAAATCACCAGACCTTCATGTGAGAGAAAAAGGAGCAAAATCTGGGGATTTTTGTTTCGTAAGAGGCTGTACTTTTTTAAGCTTTCAAAGTTACATCTGGTTAACGCTGTATGGCAATGCTGAAGGTGGAACAGGAAACCTCTTTTGTTAGTGTTTAGGAGATGTGGGGAGGAGGAGTCTGTTGTTTGAGGTAGGACAGGTGACTGAACTGCGATAGCAAAATATTGATTGCATAAAGAGGGGAAGTTACACTGTGTGGAAGAATCTTTTCAGCCTGCATTTACAAACGACTTAGTAACAAGAGGTAAAGTTCAGCAACTGTAATTTTAGATCAGAAACAGAATCATAGAATCACTAAGGTTATAAAAGACCTCTAAGACCATTGGGTCTACATGTTAGCCTAGCACTGCCATGTTTACCACCAAACTATGTACCCAAGCAGCGGTGGTGGCTGGAACACTTCCCTGGGCAGCCTGTTCCAGTGCATGCCTACCCCTTCAGTGAAGAGATTTTTCCCAATATCCAATCTAAACCTCCCCTGGTACAACTTGGGACTATTTTCTCTTGTTCTATTGCTTGTCACCTGTGAGAAGGGACCAGTCCCCTCCTTGCTACAGCCTCCTTTCAGGCAGCTGCAGCGAGTGATAATGGCTCCTCTGAGCCTCCTTTTCTTCAGGTTAAACATCCCCAGCTCCCTCAGCCACTCCTCACTGGACTTATGTTCCAGACTCTTCCCCAGCTCTGTTGCTCTTCTCTGGACACGCTCCAGCACCTCAATGTTTTTATTGTAGTGAGTGGTCCAGAACTGAACACAGGATTTGAGGTGTGGCTTCACCAGTGCTGAGAGACTTACTCAGGACTATATCAGAGACTTTCTTAATTTATTGCCAAAAGAGAAAGAGAGCTTTTTTCCTCTCACTGAAAAGTCTTCTTCAGAGACCCAGGTCCTAAGATACCTATTGACTCACTGAATGCACGAGACTAGAGAAAGGCATAACCTCACTAGAAAAGGAGAGAAGCTAAAGGGTTTCCTGCTGTGTTCCAAAGATGGCCCCCACAAATTCTGGTCCCTACAGCACAGCTCTGGGAAACACCCAGCTTCATCTAGATTGATCTGGGAGTTTCTATGTTAAGACATCAATGTTCCCCTTATAAAATCTTTAAACTAGGTTATAACTGATGTTTTAATTTACTTTCCTGTGAGATGCAGATCTGAAATTTGTGACACTGAGTCTTTTCCATTATTGAATTATGATGATGTGGCCATTTATTAGATTTGTTGCCTTCTAAAGCTAGATGGGTGTTTATCTCTTAAACATATGTGCAGTGAAAATGTTACTGTCTGTACATTTTTTTTCCATGGTTCTCTTCTTTCTAATTTAAATTAGGGTTGGGAGGCATATTATGACAGTCCAGTGAATGATTGGCTGAACAGCCACAAGTGCCTTTAAAAATTTAATATGCATAAATATCATTAGTTCTTTTGGGATTTAATTAAATTCAAGATTGTTCTCTTAATCTTTATATGTTTAAAACAAACAGCTGTATCAAGAAGACGTGGAAAATGGAACATTTGTTTTTTATTGCACTCTGTGCAGTTTGCATTTGTTTTAATCAGATATCCTATATTGGAAGAAGAAAATTAACACTTCTTTTGACATTGCACAATCCGCTTAAAAGAACACATTCACTTATTTTTCTGTTGCTCTTTCCTAACACATCCATCCATGGTTTGTACCTTGAATCTCTAAGTATGGACAAAAATACTCTCATCTTCAGCCATGGTAGGAATGGGGGTTAATACAGTCTGAGCCAGGGGAGTCTCTGCAATAAACACAGCTCTGAATTATTCCTTTGGAGTTAGCTCCGAGTGTGTGGTGGAATTCCCCTCCCTCTTCTTCACTATTGCTGTCCTTCCGGTGACATGGGATGGGTGTCCATACATGGGGCTGACAACTGGCTGCAGATGCCAGATAGTATTCAATGCTATTGCCCTCCCCTGTTTTTCCTTTGCTTCTGTGAGCACCACTGCCCTCATGTTGCAAGGACTTTAGCTCACAGAGATTCAACTGGGAGTTGTTCAAGCTCCTCTTCTGAGAACTAGTCAACACTCAGCACTCTGCAAATGTTTCTCTTTGTGAACATGTGGTGAAAATGCAGTATATTTGTTCTCAGAGGCTAGCAACAGGAAGCAAAACAAAAACAGTCCACATCAGAGAAGGAAAATTCAGAAATTATATGCTTGACTCTTGCCACTTCTTCTTTTAGAATCGATTCCAATGTTTAATGCTGAGAAGCGAAAGGAAATTTCTCTTACTTAGGAAAGAGAACTGGCTGCTGAATGTCTCAGTGCTATGCTCTCAAACCTTTTGTTAGAAGGAGCTGTGGCCATTTTCATCCATTTTTTTTTTTCAGTTTATCTTCCTGAAGAGCTGGCTCTCACCTCTTGTGCTGCCTGAATAGCAGGACCCGGACAAAAAGCTCTTGCCCAGGCTGCCTGTGAGCAAGGTAGTGAGGCAAGCACCTCCAAGCAGAGTTTAACCCTGCTGTCTGAAAGTGGGATAAACTCTCTTCTGGTTTTTTTCCTTCCTCTCTTGACTCTGTCATAGACCAGACTCTGGCTTTAAGAACACCGAAGGCAGGGAAGGTGAATCCTGCCCTTTGGTACTGTCAGGCAGAAGCTATCCCTAGGGAGTGGCTCAGACAACAGCCCTGCAGCAGAGGTAGCTTGAGCTCAGAGAAACTTTTTGTTCTGAAAGGAGTATACCTCCTAGGAATGTGCTAAGTCTGGGAGATTAAAGTGATGGACATACAGAAATATTGGCAGGCTGCTGTAAGATGACCTTTCCAAGGGGCACTCTGTGTTCCTGAGCAGTAGATTTCAAATGGTGCAGCAGAACTATTAAATAGAATAACCTCGATTGGATGGGCCTCTGGAGGTCTCATCTCTAGCCCTTGGTCAAAGCAGGTCCAGCTTCTCCAGCATCTCTGGGTCTTTCCCCATCAGCAGGTTTTGAGTATCTCCAACAGTGTGGATGTTTCCGCATACTATATGGACCAGGATGTCCTGAACTGCAGAATATTTTGAGTGGTTCAAGGTTCTATTCTCGAAAGGTACAAAGTTAGGGATTGCTGGCCTTGACTCCCAGGGAATTCAGTTGGAGCTGGGAAAACTTGAATTCTCCTTTTGCAGGGCTGTGCCTGCAGTGGAGGCTGTTTGTACAACAGTGTCTACAAAGCTATTCAGAAGTTATTAGTTCCCAGCTCTGAGAAAGTTCCCCAAGTTGACATTAATCCATCACAGAATTTTTATCCATTAAAGACTAATTTTGATCCTGAAAAATGTGACAATTGTAATGGATTGGTCCTGTGGGTGTGCACAGAACTATTCTATTTCCGTTATTCCCTAAAATTTACTTTCCTTTTGCTTTTTTTTTTTTTCAGTCCTATTTTTTCTTCTTTTGCATCATTAAAAAGATGATTAATGAAGCAAGTAAAGCAAGTAGAGACTGCTTAATCCTTCTAATTGATAATGAATCAAGGGTACCTGGGATACAGGGTACTTCTTCTGTCATATGAAACAAGATCTGAAACACTCAGAGAACAATCTTTAATTACAATCCTTTTTAATCCACAGTCCGTTTAAATGCCATTTTCACAGAATTAATGGGTTAAATTGTATAAACAAATATATGTGTGTGTGTGTGTGTAAATATGTATATATATTTGTATATATATATATATATGTATGGGAATATATAAATAGTTCACTCCAATCTCTTGAAAGTCACTTTTACAGACATTCTTCTATGATAGTTCCTTATGACTAAAGTCGTTCATGCTTTAACAGACTGTTTTCTGTAGAGTCATCCCTGGTGAAATTGACTGAAATGCTAATATGTAAATTATTATAATTCAGTTTTGCACATAATCCTTTATTAAATTAGGACCATGGTTGCCTGCCAAAGCATGGAACACAATGAATGTGCCAAAAAATTCACATGGAAAAATATCCACTTATAAAGAGTAATGAGTTGTAATTACAGTTCTTGTGCTGGACCTCAGCCCTGCCACAGTACCTATGGTTTGAGAGCTGCTCTGTCACCACATATTTCCTTCATTTCTGCCTACTTCCTGGCTTTTACAAGAGGAAAGGTGAACATCACCCCTTGGGTGATACTTGTTTTATTGGTCTGGGGTTGAGCTGAAAAAGCCACAAGAGAAGTGCAGATGCTGTGCTTACATCTAATTCCCCACAGTGGGATTAATTCCAGTTTGTTTGGAGCCTCAGTGAACCCAGAGGAGCCAATGGACTCCCTCACCCATCTTGATCTGTCCTGACTCCTGCCTTTGTGGTGATAGGGATATTTTGTGTGTCTCTTTATTTTCCACAGTGCAAAGCTTAGCCTGGCTGAACATAGCTCCCACACCTGGGACAGCCAATTTGGTGTGGATGCTGCAAAGTTTCCACTGCTGCACTGTCAGGGATTGCTCTGAAAAGCAGATGAATGATGAGATGGGCTCATAGAGCCTTCAATCTTGCTTTTAGTAGTAGTTTCCACTACATGGCTGTAAATCCTTGAGGGGTTGATGAGTTTATATGGTGCATCCTGACTCTAATGATGTATTTCCCCACATCCTCATAAATTGCTGTCTATTTGTGTTTTCCTTAAATGGCTTCATAAATCCATATATATTGGTCTAGCCCTAAATGTTATTATGAACGTTTTATTCATTGATGCACTTCTGGAACGACCGTAAATTCCAGTCCCCCAGGCTACTATCACCTTTCCACACGTGTGCATGTGTGGATACCCACGCACCCG